GTGGTGGTGGTGGTGGTGGTGGTGGTGGTGGTGGTGGTGGTGGTGGTGGTGGTGGTGGTGGTGGTGGTGGTGGTGCGCTCCCACTACCCTACAACCCCGCTAGTCAACGACCTGTAATAAACGTTTGGTGGCGACAGGCCAGTCAAGTGTGCGGATGAATAAGCATGATTAACAGGCGACCAATGGTAAATAGGGTGAGTCATTGACACAGATAGGCGGTCCCAAATCACAGCCGACAGACTTGACAATGAATCTACAACACTGTTTCTACTGTAGGAGTACTGGGAAATCGGACAAATACAAAGAGTGGGTGAATTGAAAGGAAAGAACTAGTTTATGGCACAAGTTAGGGTTTCGGAGATGGTTTGTCAAATCTGTGAAAAAACGTTACAGTGCCTATAAAATTATGCGTAACCACACACCTGTTTCTTTGAAAAAATGCGAACGACAAGAGCGGCGCCAGAGAGATCGATTGGGGTCTCGAGCTTGTTGGCACGACTGGGCGCAATGACTAGGAGGTCGCGTGAGCGGTGTGCTTGGGTGTCGTCTCCGGGGACTAGAATTCTCTGCACGAGTTCATCTGGAAGCAAGTACACCGTGGGGCTAAAAGACAGGAGGGATCTCGCTTGACGGGGCTGCGGTCTCCGGATTGCTGGATCGCGGATGTGGCGCGGAGCGAAAAAAGAGTGCAAGTGGTGCAGCCTTCGCTCCCCTTACAGAACATGGCTCCTTGAACCATCAAGGTGAGGCACTCAAATTAGTGTGCTTCGTTACATTCCGGAAGAAGAAGAAGAAGAAGAAGAAGAAGAAGAAGAAAAGAAGGAGGAGGAAGAGGAAGAAGAAAAAGAAGGGGAGGAAGAAAAAGAAGATGAAGACGAAGAAGAGGAAGAAGGAGGAGGGGTAAGAAAAATAAGAAAAACAAGAAGGAGGAGGAGGACGAAGAAGAAAAGGAGGAGGAAGACGAAGAAGAGTAGGAAGAAGAGGAGAAAAGCTATGACTGACTGCGGAAATAGGACAACATGCATTAGATGATGCTGATGGTGTGGGCGTAATTCGAAACTCTCCACACAACGTTGACATTAAGTTCATCGGGAGAGAGGAGAAACGCAGTGAAAAAACGTTGCAATCTCAAGGAACAACCAGTACTCAAGCCAATACGTAGATTACGCATCAGGCGATTACGCAGATGACAACCAGAGAGCCTAATTTCAAAATCGACATTTCAGGGAAGCGGGTAGAACCTGATTACATAAACGAGCTCGATCCTCCTAACGTTACCTCCCACCGTGGATGGTTGCCTAGTTGACGAATTCGCCTCCATCGCCCGCTTTGACCAAAAAGTGTCAACAGCGCACCATTTCGTTTCTCGCCTGCTTTGACCAATAACCTCCACTCTTTCGTACCAGCCCCAACCAGTGGCGCGTAACGCCATCACTGAAATTTTACCACGGGAATCCCAAACCCTCACTGAAAAGAGATCGGATTACAAGCAGAGGCGAGTGTTCTGGTGCGGCAGGAGCGGTCAGGGGTGAGCAGGCTACCACAACACACAAGTGGAACAGTGAGAAGTTTTGACGTGCACTTCCTCTCTACCAACCAATTGCATTTGAGCAATTAGAATGTCAAATTTCAAGTAACCCACTCGATTAAAGGGGGATTCAGCACGATAGCTGTTGGAAATAATGAGTGCAGTGCTCTGTGAGTAAATAAACGCGCGTACCATGTGTCAGGAAGTAGGTCGTTTTGGCATTTTCGCACAACTAGGCAATTATCTGGAACCCTCTGGAGATTTAATGGGTTGTGTGCACAGCATGTTCACCAACAAGGTGGATTTTGAACGAGAACTATGCATCACTCGAGGCACGGATGCGAGGCACGCATGTGGAGCAGAATTTGCTGCAGGATTTTGCAAAAGTTCCGTGCTTGGCCCAAAGTGACTACAAAGTCTGGCTTGCCAAATGTCACCGGTTGAAACGAGAAGCACATTGTCTCACTACCCACCACAAGCCACCTCCCAACGCATTTCCTTCTTTGGCATTATTTAGGGACAGTTTGTTTTGCTTGATATAATTAAATAATACTTGGTTCAAATGAGAAATACATTGGCTCACCTGAGAGTGGCCCCTCAGGTAGAGGCTCAATTCTCAGCCTCTTCTCAACACGCCCTAATGACAGGTAAAGGGGGTCAAGAGATCACTTGGCAACAGCTCTCAACTGGCACTGGGACATGCTGGCTGAGCGAGCACACGTCCTCTTGGCCAAAATCTCTCAACGCTCGAGTAGACATGACGACCTTTGTCAATCCATCATCATCATTATTCCAGATCTACCTGACAACGATCTCATGCCAAGCTCATAACACAAAATCCGGCATGATTGCTCGAGTCGACCAATCACGACAACCGCAAATTAACCAATAAATGAGCCCA